GTCGATAAGCTCCAGAATTCCTGTAGATGACGCCGAACAGGAGCTTGACTACCGCTCATCATCGCCACTTCGGCGTCATCTCCAGGGATTTGGGACGGCAGGGCCGTTACTTATCATTCACCTTCCAGGCACTGCCTTTTTGTCAGATATATCGTGAATACCTTCCCCTTTTCTTCTCAAAACTTAAATAGAACATTTTAAAAATATATCTTAGTTTGGGGTAGCACATCAGTAATTGAGCAAATCAGTTTCCACGGGTTTCTCAACCCTGGCAACCTCCGAAAACCACTAAAAACCTCGAAACATTGAAAAATATCGAAACTTGGCAACCTATGTATCCTTTGGTGGAAACCGGCTGCCCAAATAGCGTAAGATATACATAATCACTAGTCCCTGACCGGAGAAACCCTTAGACTATTCCTTTTCGGGTTTCCAGAAACCCCGGCAACTTCCAAAACCAGTAAAAACCCGGAATCTATTTTGCCATGTTACTGATGCAGATAAACCCTAGACAAGAGAGAGAATATATTTTAAGTTTCTTCCAGTTTTATCCGATGCTTCTGATCCGGAACAAGATTCTATTATATTCTCCTCTTATTTACAATTTTCTCGCAGCATAAACAAGCCAACTCCCACAGTGTGTTTGGCAATTTTTTCCAGAAGAACCGCTTGATAAATTGTTTCGAAACTTGATGGGCAGATTGTTCGCCGTGAAAGGAAGCGATTCCACTATTTTTCATATTTTTCCTAGCAGTTTTTGGTGTCCCGGCCAAAATTTTAGGGCCTATTTCTGTATATGGCCATTTTCTCCAAAACGGCTCGTGAGACCTGGCTGAAATTTGGCCAGAAGCTTCCCTCAATGTTTCTGCACGTTTTCCGGGCACTTTGGTAGCCATCAAAACATTTCCATTTTTATTAGTGGGCTTTGCTTGTCCATGACTGTACTCAACTGCCAGTCTGCCACGGAGGTTCTCTAGATGCGTATGCCTCGCCCCGAGGATATACCAACAGCAACACACTCCCCGAATGGGGAATTCAGCGGAGTTTGAAACCCTAACCGGCAACCTAACCTCCTAACCTAACGAGAACCCTAACCATAACCCTAACCTCCCGACCCTAACCATTAACCCTAACCTCCTAACCTAACCGAGAGCGCGCTACCGCGCGGGGAGAGTTAAGAGCACGCTACCGCGCGAAGGACATGTATTATCTTATATGCTAACCCTAACATCCCTAACCCTAACGGCGCCTATTCGGCAGATACGTCGGAGTGTCAATAATGGCCAATTTGATGGGATATCAGCGACACATCGTCATGTGCCTGAGTGTGTTGGGTGTCGTTGTTGGTACACCCTGCCTCGCCCCAGCTCGCCCCGGGCCCGTGATTTGCTCCGCAGTCCACTGAGTATTTTCAGCTAGGTTCCTTGGACTTCCCCAACTGGACTTCTGCCGTTCCGCTTTGTTTTGTACCAGCTGATTGGTCAATGCCCTTAAGTCAATCAACGAGTCAACTCCAGCCAACGTAGTATGCGCATATGTGTGCCTCTGATCTTACTGGGTTATGGTAAGTACGGATTTCTATAACGCCGAGTTTTGCTTGACACTTTCTGACATTGCAAACGTTCCAGAATGTTCCTCCCAGTTATCCGATTGGGGTATTTTTTGTGTGACGAAAACATATGGCCTCAGGGGAAGCTGGGAACTCGACATATAAAGCCTAGGCGATTTGAGGGGCTTTTGCAGCTTCTCTCGAGCTTGAGTCGTCATGGGGCATACACTCCTATCTCTCCTTCTCTTCACTTGTCTCACCATTTGCGTTCTTCCTGCTGCATCGCCGCCTACTTACCAGGTAATATTCAAGACGAACGTTGTATGTATGCTAGACTCATCGTCGTTTAGCTAGGGGAAGGTATCACTTTCTTCGCCACATGGGACAAGGGTGGTTAGAAAGGCGGCTCGCAAACTTACAATTTCTCATGAACTCCCAGGAAAATACAAGCTTGACCTTGAAGTCCACCATCGCGAAGTGAAACCGATTTTCCTCACCAGATTCAAAGAAGCCTATACTTTCAGAACGTTCAACAGAATGTGTGTTTTGGCTTTTTAAACACAACTGACCTGATCTCACGGGATGCTCAAAAGGTGTGGTACTAATCCGGACTTTGATATTGACAAGAACAGCATTGTCTTTCCCAGCGTGGTTCGCAGTCAAGATCAATGCACGAAGGTAGATTTCCTTCCTTTTCAGTTGGCGAATGCTGATAAATATCAACGAATGAAGGCGAAATTTAGCCTCGATCTAGGACAGGTGGTTCTAGATCACCAGAGCCTTGCCGAACTCAATGATTTCGAGGACGAAGAGGTATCTATATTTGAAACCTGGGGAAAGGGTAGGCAGGGTATTATTACCATATGCCATCGCTTCTGATGTTTTGTGTTGAACAAGGAAAGTACAAGATCGACATTGATCTTTACCACCGTAAAGTCAAGCCGAAATTCATCGCCGCGTTCCAGAACCAATATGGTGCCAAGAAGTTCAATGATACGTATGTGGGACAGCTTGAAACGATCTCGCATATCTCTGAAATACAAGCTACTTTTAAGGTGCGGCAAGAACCCCGATTTTGATATCGACAAGGAAGGTTGGGTTTGGCCGAACGCTGTGAGAGGCAAGAGCTGTTCGAAGGTTTTTTATTTCGTCCATCTCTCTTTCAAAAATAAAAATAAAAATCCGTGTTTCAGAAGGATTATATTCTCGACTTGGGCGATACAATCGTTCTTGAATGTCAGAAGGACCCCAACTGTCTCCGACTTAACGGCGAGCTTTCCGTCTTTGAAACATGGGGAACAGGCAAGTGATTTCGTTCTGCTCTATCATTTTGCTGTTTTCCTACAGCGCGTTTTAGGAAATTATAAATTGGATATGGACGTTTATCATCGTGAGGTCAAGCCTATTTTCCTGACAAGGTTCTTTTCGGCATACGGTACCAAATTTAACGGCATGTATGTGTTTTCACTTTGAACTTAAGTCGCTCCCTGATCAGTGAGAAGGTGCGGCAAGAATCCCGACTTTAAAGTCGACAAAAATGGATGGGTGTGGCCTGATGCAACCAAAGGAAAAAATTGCTCAAAGGTCGTATACCTTCAATTTGGCCTCACTTTACGAGAAAGCTGACTCATGAATTTTAGAAGCGCTATTTTCTAGATTTAGGAGAGGTGATTATAGCTCATCAACCCCAAGCCATCGACGGAGAAGAGATCAGTGACGAGTCTGTGATTTCGCGTCTCGAGAATGTTATCAAGGTGTCCAAATTGCAAGAGTTAGTCAATTTCTCTCCTTTGAACGAAAAGCGTGATCCTTAACTCACTAATCATGTCACAGTCTGGTGTTCTTCATTCTCAACCGTGCATAAAGGAGGCTTGGAGGGTGATCGCGGTGTACTCCGGTGAAAGTTAGGTGTGTAGTGTACTTGTAGTCACGGTGACCAGTGGTAGAGTTGCCTTTGCGACTTATCATTGTTGTGAAAGTGTCAATATTATATCTATGACTAGCCCTTTTACTTTGCTCAACTTCCATGAGGGACGTTGACGAGATAATCGTGTGGCCCAGGTGATAACGTGTCAAAAGATAGAACGTTGGCATATTGGGCATCATCTTTTCGAAACTGGAAGTATAAAAATGCGAATAATAAGTAAGATTTTTTCAAAAATAGTGTACAAAAACGCAACAGGACGTAGACAAAGTAATCATTCAAACCTTCGTTTTCTTACTAACCTTCGATGCAGACCGTTTTCATTCCCAATTTGATAGAAGAATCAAACAACCGCCTTCACCTCAAAGAAGCTCAAGCAACTCAACGATTGCTCTTTTGCTTCCTAGCTTTACGGTTGTCCTTCCCACTATCAATCCTCTTCGAAAACTTGCCTGCCCTCTTGTTGATAACGAGCTGCAACGCTCGCTTCGTCTCTCCATCGATGAAGGTCGAGAGATCGAAATAGTTTCCTGCGTACTCAAGGAGCCTGGAAGAGATGTTGGTTACGAAAGCTTCTGAGAGCAGCCAGAGCGTACCATTCAGGCCTAACTTCCGACACGGTGCGGATGTACGGTCGGGTGGTCAGCACGAATTCGTTGAAGAGGACCCACTCAGGTTGGGTATCCAGACCGCAGGATGGATGGAGGCCAACGACCTGCATAAGGATGAGTGAGAATCGTCAGTTGTTCGACTTGGGAGGAACGTGCCTGGTTTTCCTTCACTGTGAGATAATTCCCTTTCTCTCCTCCTTCTTTGTGCGCAACTTGCATGAAGAATCCGCACACCAAGGCTTGTCGGATGTTGGTGTATAGCTTCTTCTCGTCTGAGAGTGACACCAAGTCTATATCGAAGCGCTCCATCGTCCGCTGTAGCTGCGCACGAACATTGTCTGCTTGTTGCAGCGCACGATGGGAGAGGTAGTGTGTCCATGTCCAGTTCTTGTCATGTATATCTGATGAGAGGTCATCAGAAGAAGCGGTAGAGCGACTTTCGATGAACAGCTTACTTTGCATGTACTGGTTATAAACATTCAACAACGTCAGATGATCTCCGTCAGGAACTGTCAATAGAGCCTTTGCAGCGTCCGCCTGTTGTCTTTGATTGTTCGGTCGAAGCCACACATTGGGTACTATGGATGATGTTCGTCAGGAAGATGCAGCATTCGAAAAGGTACATGACATACCTGACATCATCGCGGTGATCGTCAACATCTCATTACTGCATTTGAATTCTGAGCTAACAATCAGCAGCTTCGATAGCTATTGAAAGAATTAGTCGAATGAAAATCCCAGCGTGGAGGGTATCTACCTGCGGGTCTAGAGGAAACTCGGCCATCGTAGCACCTAGGGCGGTGAGGTTCCCGTCGTCGTCTAAAGCCGAGAGGTAATTCAATAGTTCTAGTGCCCTCATAAGCGTCTCAGGTGGAGGGGCATCAACATAACCAAATCGGACAAGATCCTATTGAGGATGAACTTCGTCAGGTTGCAAAATCACCTGAAAGCATGGAAACTGACCTTGATTCCGAGTTTAGCCATTTCCAGTACTGTATTACTCAGATTAGACTTCAAAATCTCAGGATGAGTCTGCTCCTCCAGCTCCGATATAAAGTCCTTCTCAGTGAACAGCCGGTAGCACTTTCCTGGCTTAGTACGTCCTGCACGTCCAGCCCTCTGTCGAGCAGACGCTTTTGATATGGCGCTGACGAACTGGCTCTCCACGCGTATTATCGGATTGTAAATTTTCTGCTTCGAAAAGCCCGGGTCTACCACATAAACGATTCCGTCGATCGTCAGCGACGTTTCTGCAATGTTCGTCGATACGACGACTTTCCGTCCTGGTGGGCCACCAGTCGACCGGGTAGCAGGAGGTGCGTCGAATATCCGTTGTTGTTGTTGTGGGGGGAGGGACGAGTAGAGAGGTATGCACACAAGGGGACCGACAGACTCCGAATCTTGCTTGATGAGATCATCGGCGTCTACCTTGATCTTGCGACATGCGTCCTCGATTTCTTCCTCCCCAGTCAAGAACAACAAAACGTCACCTTCAGCTTCAGCGCGATGAATCATGAGTACTGTTCGGATAGCAGCCTCCAGGTAGTCGGGTTCTGGTTCTTGCGTGTAGAAGATCTCCACCGGATGTGTCCGACCTTGGACGTTGAAGACTGTTGCTAAGACGCCGGAGCGTAGGCTGAAGTGTTTCTGGAACTTGGCGGCATCGAGGGTGGCCGACATAACGATGATTTTGAGGTCAAGCCGCCTCTTGGCAACACCTTTCAGCAGACCCATGAGGATATCGGTGGCAAGAGTGCGTTCGTGGGCTTCGTCAAGAATGATGGTGGAATATCGCTCAAGGCTGGGGTCATTCGTGGCTTCGCGTAGAAGCGTACCATCCGTCATGTAGCTGAGAAAGGTTGTTCCAGGTTCTGTCATGTCCTCGAAACGGATTGAGTAACCAACGTGTCGGCCCAGCTGGACTGTGGGAGTTGACTCAGTTGAGCAAGCTGAATCGAGTGAGATCTAGAATGACGGGAACAACGCACCGTCCATTTCATCGGCCACACGTTTAGCGACTGACATCGCTGCTACCCTCCTAGGTTGTGTGCATGCCACAAGTTTGCCTTTGGTATGTGGCAAGTCTGAATAGGCAACGAATTGTGGGATTCTGGCGACTTGAATCAGATAAGGCTCCGTTATGGGTAGATTCACTATACGCACTGTGTCGTCTTTCCCGATCCTGTCTCGCCGACCAAGATGATTATCTGGTTTTCGCTGAACTGTCCCCATGTATCAGCGTCGTATCAGAGGAAGTGCGGGTAGGAGGTCCCATCCATAAAGATCGTCCTCAATCGCCGTCAAGGGCGAACTTTAGGGATGGGACCTCCACTCACGATTTTCAAGAACTCGTCCATTTGCGTAAAAACGGGTAGTTTCTTCCGCGCTTCAAGAATCTTCTTGTATTGAGACGAATGAGGCTGTTTTGTGAAAGGATTTATGTCTCCATCCTATAAAATAATGTCAATAATTGAAAGGCCGACCGGGACCAAGTTACGCACCATAGCTTTGCGAACTTGTTCTCCAATCACTTTTCGTGGCAAAAAACCATACAACGGCTCCTTTATTCTTGGACTTGGTGCGGGCTCGGGTGCTGCCCCCTTTCTCCCATTATAATGGTGCGCGAGATACGGGTTGTCCTTGGGGTTGGTGCCGGCCATGAGTATTGGTGATTGAGGGTACTGTAAGTGATGGTGGGTGAGAAAGATCAGATATGATATCGGTGCCGATAAGACAGACGGCGCTAAGCTTGTCAACAAAGGCAGGGTCCAGTGACAAAATTATGCGGTAAGCAGGCTTTTTCGGCCAAGTCCACATTGCTTTGCAACAAAGTTGTCTCGCCGCCAGTTCCAAGCCAGGTTAACGTAACCAAATTCTTACTGACACACTGCCAGTTACTCACGCCTATTCAAGTATCTGAGGTGAACTCCTGGGATTGTACGTTTGATTTGCGTTTGATGCTGTGATGGAGAACGAAGCAACTAGTGGATACGTCACATTTTTTTCGTCATGCCTTTTCATAGTTTCGCAGCGCGGAGATTTGGTCACTGAGCTAGTACCTGTAATGGGGAGGCCGGGCGCGAAAATTGCTCCCTGCGCCCAGCGACGCAAAACATTGGGGGAGGAGGCGTGGTGTCCGCCTCCGTATAGCTTCTAAACTATAGTCGGAGTGGAGTACAATAGCCTGCGTTTCCCGTCTGGGACAACCTAATTCAAGTGAGAAGAGTCAACTGGAAAAGGAAGAACAAAATATACCGACAGGAACTTAAGAATGAAACGCCATAATACGAGAGAATCTTACGATAATTTCATGGCTTACCTGGCGTAGCGTGACTACCATTAGATTATCCGGCCGCGGATTCGCAAGCTTTGAGGCAAAGTAAGTAGATAGGGATTGGAAGAAAAGGTGGCCGTGGGAACTTTCATTGTTGCCACACAAAGTAAACAAGTGCACACACGGTTGTTTCTCAGACGATTTTGGCTTTTTCGTCAAAGCCTGTCACCGTCGCCGCCGTTGTTGTCGTCGTCCTCTACTACATTTTTCTCAATGGCCGCCCTTGCACCCGTCGTCGATGGTATTGGTATTGCCAACCTTCCCAACCAGGTTAGTGTTGTCTGCCGTGCTCGACCCCCCACCTGCTGACTTGCTCGTCACCATCTAGCGACACAAGATTGTCGCCAAGCGTGGTGCACACTTTACAATCATGGTTGTTGGTGAGTCACTTGACGACACCGTCGTCGTTGGTCCACTGTTGCTCATTGAGAATGCATATAGGCGAGTCTGGACTAGGCAAGACGACCCTCATCAACACCCTCTTCTCGACGGAGCTGTCACCTCCCAAGAACTACAGCAAGCGTCACTTCAAGCAGCTCGACAAGTTGACGGAAGTTGAGATTATTAAGGCCGAGCTTGAGGAACGCCAGTTCAAGGTCAAGCTCACCGTCATTGACACCCCTGGGTTTGGTGACTACGTCAACAACCGTGACTCGTGGCTACCTATTGTCGAGTTCATCGACGACCAGCACGAGGCATATATGAGGCAGGAGCAGCAGCCCCAGAGGCATGAAAAGACTGACCTGAGGGTTCACGCTTGCTTGTACTTCATCCGACCCACAGGCCACACGTACGTGTTCTCCTGCAATTTTTTAAATTTCTTTAATGACGTTCGTACAGTCTGAAACCTCTGGACATTGAAATTATGAAGCGTCTTGGGACACGCGTCAACCTCATCCCCGTCGTTGCAAAGGCCGATACCTTGACACAGAACGACCTTTTCACCTTTAAGCAACGTGTCCGTATCATTTCCTTCATACTTTAACTCTTCTTGCTCAAACTTTTTCCCGCCAGGTTCGCGAGGTTATCGCAGCTCAAGGTATCAGGATTTACACGCCTCCCGTCGAGGCCGACGACGAGAACGCTGAGCATGCTCACGTTCTCATCGATGCTATCCCCTTCTCCATCATTGGCTCGACTGAAGACGTTAGGACCCCAGATGGACGTGTCGTCAAGGGCCGTGAATATATTTGGGGTGTTGCAGAAGGTGGGGGTTCTGTCAAACTAGCTTTTTGCTCAAACTAACTGCTCTTTTGTAGTCGAGAATGAGAACCACTGCGACTTTAAAAAGCTCCGCTCCCTTTTGATTCGCACACACATGTTGGACCTCATCTCGACAAGTGAAGAGCTTCACTACGAGAATTATCGTCAACAGCAAATGGAGACAAGGAAGTTTGGCGAACCCAAAGTCAAGAAACTGGACAACCCCAAGTTCAAGGAAGAGGAAGAGCAGCTCAGGAAGAAGTTCACGGAGCAGGTCAAGGCGGAGGAAGCGCGATTCAGACAATGGGAGCAACATGTGTTTACTCTCTCCAACGTCTTTCTTTGCCCATTCTGACAAATAATCAAATAACACAGTTGATTGCCGAACGAGACCGTCTCAACAAAGATTTAGAGATGGCGCACAGTACCATCAAGTCCCTCGAGGCGGAGCTGGACAACCTCCAGGTCGGCTTGGGTCGCAGCACGGGCAGACGATGATCATCCGTTTCCCTACACAATATCTTCTTGGACAGGCGCTACCCTCCTCCCCCTTTGGCAATGCACTCTCTACAGTACACCCGCAAAAGAGCGTAGCCGCCAATCTGTTTCTTAATCAATACGGTCGTATACCCTCTCTCTCCCTCCTTCCTCCCTCGCATACCACCCATCCACTCCTTTTTTTCTTGTCACATTGCTTATACCGCACCCGGGTGTTTTTGCTTTGATGTTGGATTTCTTCTTTTCTTTACTTGACCTCACCCATCTCAGAGCCGCTCATGTTACCCTTGTCTGAAATAATACACCACTGTTACCCTTGGGCCAGGTTGGAAGGTATCCTCGTCGGGGGTCTATCCTCTGATCTATGTACTTACAGCAGCCGTCGTTTCAGCAAGTGAGATATAAAAAAACATGCACCACGTCGATGTCAGCCACTGACTCCACCGTGTGAGCATGTAAGTCGCCAAAGAAAGCCTTTTCTACAGGTTAAAATTTGACAGAGCCTGAAGATCATATCTTTTACGTACTGTCATGTGACCCCTAACGGGTCATCAGCACTAACGGGTCAACAAGCTATAGCACCACAACGATCCATGCTATGCATTTGAAATTTTGAACAGAGTTTGACAATGTACATGCGGCTGTGTGTGGAGATTTATTGGACAGAACGTTGAGCATGAGCTGAGATATAAGGGAGATAAGATGGTCACATTGTTGTTTTGCCAAGTTTGCCCATCAAAGCAAGTCTATCTAATTGACGACCATTTCTCTCCACAGTGCTAGCCTCTATTGACATAAATATTTTTGAGAGTTTACAGTGGAGGTATTAGTAACTCGCACACAAAATTTTGAATCAGATAAGGAGAATATGAGGTGTCTAAGAATATTTTACGGTTGGCTTATGTGCTGACCAATTCAGGGCAAACGGGTCAAGGCATTTTAACACTACCCAAAAGCATCCCTCCAGAATAAAACTTACAGATACAATATGTATATGTTTCCTCCTACTCACTCGCAAAATTTTATGTGCTCCCAATGAGAGGGAGGCATGCAATCTGCAAATTTAAGCTAAAGTGACCTGGTAATGGTCACATGACAGTAATACATGTCATGTGCAGTTTGAATAATGTGTTGATTTGGTTGCAGGAAAGAATTTTTGCATGCATCAAGGTCGTTGGTAGCGATCAGCACTTGATGTCCCTTGGCAACCTGGGTTCACCTGCAACGTATTGTTCGTCAGTCTCCTCGCGCAACAAGTTGTTCAACCACACCCCGTCAGGCTTAATCTTCTTGCCGCGATGATACATGACTGTGAGGTACAACCATGCAGCGGCATTGCCGACGGTTGACACCTCGTCAGAAATGCGGGTTCGCGCGTACTTGCTCATCTTGTGGTACAAAGGTATGTCGTTGTATAAGTTGTAGAGATGTTTGGCGACAGCTGTGGTGTCACCAGGATGAGTGAGGTATCCAGACTTTCTGTCCTCAATCTGCAGAGGAATGCCCCCAGTGTGACAGGCGATGACAGGTATCCCGGCATGTTGGACTTCACACAAGGGGCAAATGGCTTTTGTTGCCAGGTAAAGAGGTAGCAAATAGTAAATAACTATGTTAAATATTTTATTTCACATTTGTGACAAAAATGATCAGTTAAATAAAATTATAATTTTCTTGCTCATGATCTTTGTGGCAATGATGAATAAAAAGAAAATGTTGTTGCCACAGCAGGAAGATAAAGATAAACCCTGTTTTGCTATGGCAACAATGATGAGGCAACGATTTAATGTCAATGAAAGCTCGTTCTGACATGAGGGAACAGAAACAAAGAATTTACATATTTGCCAAGCAACGAGGTGATCTGGCCTGCATGGGAATGTCTAATTCCCTGGCAATTATATAATTTCTTTGTTCCCATTTCCTCATGTCAGAACGAGCTGTCAATGACATTAAATTGTTGCCTCATCATTGTTGCCACAGCAAAACAGGGTTTATCTTTATCTTCCTGCTGTGGCAACAACATTTTCTTTTTATTGGTCATTGCCACAAAGATCATAAGCAAGAAAATTATAATTTTATTCGACTGATCATTTTTGTCACAAATGTGGAATAAAAGATTTAACATAGTTATTTACTATTTGTTACCTCTTTACCTGGCAACAAAAGCTGTTTGCCCCTTGTGTCAGAGACTTTGACCTCAAAACCTCCACAAGTGGACAGTTGAAGGGTGATCCAGGAGTTGGCCATCAAGGCATTGAGCACTATTGAGCATTGTGACAATGTGTTTAAAAATTGAAGGCTATGAACGAACATTGATCGCTGGGAGGAAGCCTCATGACAACGATGTCCTTGGAGAATTTGGCATAAGGTTCCGTGTAGCATGCTAGTAAGTATCCTACCTATCCTACCTATTTACCCTTTCCACCTCCCGAGACTCGCCTCCATTGATTGACTTATATGCCCACTCTCCATTCTTTGTATCACATCACGTTACGCTTTACGTAAGCACTGTAGTTATACCTCATGTAGTACATGAGGAAATGATATCTTCTTACCATCGCTTATATCTCTCGTATCGCTTGGATACAAAAGCCCTACCAACGGCTTCACTTCAAGCTTTGAGAGATCAACGGTCAGACTCCAAGAACTTCGTTATCGCAATCTCCACTGGGACTGTCCGTGGAGATCAGAGTACGAGAATGCTGAACCGTCACGTTCTATGATTCCAAGCGTGCAACTAAGCTGTATAGACCGACTCGGTGAGTCCTTACACCTTTGATCGTCGTAGTCCGCTAGGCTTTCCAACGACTGTCCCACTACCCAAGTGATCACTACGTCAAGTAGCGGTTACAAAGGTGGACACTGTGGGAACAGTCGATACACCTAGCCAACTGTCTAACCAGATCTAGATTCACTCATCGTTCACCTTGTCTTCTACATTACTCATTACTCTTCCCTCGCTACGTCGACCAACCTGTCCGACTACCGAGCGCTGAAAAATTCGACTCCCCCTGTCGTATCTAGGGGGGGTAGGCCCGCCTTCTCAGGCACTTTTGGATCCTTGAGGATCCCGGGCTCGAAACCCTCTACGACTGCCTCACTACCTCTCTCAACAGACTCCCCTTGGAGGAGAAGCCCCATTGGAGAAACTCCCCTCACCTCGTCGAAATCACGCGATCAACCCCCTCACCAATCGTCCCAAATCCCTAGACTTAAGACAACGCCCCGCTCGGAGACCAAACCCTTGAGAACGTCGATGGACAATCCTTCACATAACCCTTCACCTCCCACCTCATCTCATCTCCCGAATCCCGGAAACCCCTCTAACGTCGAACACTCAGAGAGTTCACGGAATAACCGGCTAGGCATGGAAAGGGGGTACTCTCTGTCCCCCATGTACAGCCTCATCCTCGAGTATAATCGTGAGCAAGGGTCCAACTTCTCGACGGCAGCCGAAGTGTCATGGATTCTCCAACAGCCAAACCTCAAGGCGAGAGATATTTGTATCAAAACTGACGCCACTGATCCAGACTTTGCTATTAGTCTGATAGACTCTCGTTTAGACTACATCGTACGAGCAGTCACCGAACTACAAACTTTCCTTGACAGTATGGCCGAGCTGATACAAGAACAAATGAAGGTGTTTCGAATCGACCCGGAGGAGACTATGATTGGCGCCTTACAAGGTTGCGAAAGCCGATCGCAGCTAGAAGTGGCCTACAGTATATTACTCAAACGACTACTAGCCGCCCAGCAGACCGTCGCAAAGTACGAGGCCCAATACCAAAACTTGGAGACTCCTCTATCACCTATATCGACGGTCCCCGAATTGCACGAAGAACTCGACGGAATCGACGGCGCCGATAACCGTATGAGGTTCCTGCTTCAAAAGTTCCCCCATCACCAAGGGCAGTTAAACACCGAAGCTCTCTCAGCCGTTGCTCAAGGACACCCTTGGAGCACCGTTTACCCTACACAACCACTGCCAACAGAGGGAAGACTCCTACCACCCGTTGAACCACTGCCCTTCCAGACAGACGTTCCCGCAGGGAAAAAGAGAGTGGACTGGGATGATACGGCTCTGTGGGATGAGAAATCCTCAAGCGTCGAACAAGGTAGAGAATTGGAAGGAGGAGCGGAGCTTTCTTTCGGATTCCAGACTCCTTTCAGAACCAATAACAAGTTCTTCGAGGAGTCAAGAAGTACACCCCCCACTTCGTTTTTCTCTACCCCGAGCCCCATACCAACCTCAAATCCGGAGGTCATGCAAGACGTCACGGTCGGACTAGCCACTCCCTCACAGACCATTTTTGGGGATAACGTTAGGGATCATAATGTGGCGCCCAGCCAACTTTCAAACACTATGGTTATGTCGAAGCGTAACCCCAAGGGAAACACCCACTCGCACAACTCCTTCAATCTACCACAAAACACCGACAGCCTTTCCTTACACAAGTATTAGTGACCTTACCCCAACAACACTGAGCCCCCTGACCATACAAACAGGCCATGGTTGATGGTGCCTGCTGATGAGCCGATGTATATGTTGACCCCATCAAAGCTGGCTCGGCCACCCATATCTTCTTGAGGAGTGGTTCTGTGTGCCGGCCGACCAGCCTAATGATGAATTGACCCTGCTGAAATTGCCTTGGATTGTGGGTCAGCTGAACAGCTTTTGATTCCTCACAATATGGATCAGCCCACTTGCCGCACCCTGGCTCGGCAAAGTCAGTTTACATACCCGAGGTCATGAATCTCATTGTGAGCCCCGAGCAGAGATGAGGCCGGCCCCCATCTGTTGCCATCTCCAGCCTGGATATGGCCTGGCCCAGTCGGCACCACACTCCCTACCATTCTTTGGCTTGTCTCCAATTAAACAATTTATGTTGCCATCTGTCCCGTGATGATAGCCAGCCTGGCTAACACATGGCCTAACTAAGTTTACTTGTTCATATGTTGTACCAACCCCCCAGTGTTCTTTGCCATGTCCTGCATTCAAAATCACCCTCTGGTTTTATGTTTGCATCAGGCCAGTGAGTACATTAGCTGGTCCTGTATTCTGGTGCAAAGTTACTGAGCAGACAAGGTCATTGAATCTGTATAAATGCATGGAAACAGCCAATCAAACATGTTCAGATGCAAAATAATGGAGCCGACAAGTGGGAAATAGTACAAATACCTGGGTTTCACCTTGAGTGATTGAGCCGATTCCATATTAAATCATTGTGTCTGGGCCAGTGCATTTTTCAGGGAAAGGATGTGTGAGCTGGCACCATGTCCAGGTGAAATTACACCAAGCAGACATGAATTACATCAGTAAAGGTGCACATCGGGTGATGCAGGCATTTAAATCCCAAACTGTTGAAGTACGTTGGCTGGTGCCATGTCCGGATGCAAAATAATCAAGCAAACAAGTGAATGAAATTGGTAAAAATGCCTGGGCTGCACATCGGGTGATATTAAATTGTTGAAGTACTTTCAAAGGGCTGGGAAAACAACCGAGCAGACAAGTGAATTAAATCGGTAAAAGTGCCCGGGCTGCGTCTTGGATAATAGAGCCGATTTAATATTAAATTGGTGAAGTACTTTGGCTGGTGCCAAGGCCGGGTGGAAAATAACCGAGCAGACAAGTGAATTAAATTGGTAAAAGTGCCCGGGCTGATCTTGGATAATAGAGCCGATTTATATTAAATTGGTGAAGTACTTTGGCTGGTGCCGAGGCCGGGTGAAAAATAACCGAGCAGACAAGTGAATTAAATCAGTAAAAGTGCCCAGGCTACATCTTGGGTAATAGAGCCGATTTGATATTAAATTGGTGAAGTACTTTGGCTGGTGCCGAGGCCGGGTGGAAAATAACCGAGCAGACAAGTGAATTAAATTGGTAAAAGTGCCTGGGCTACATCTTGGGTAATAGAGCCGATTTGATATTAAATTGGTGAAGTACTTTGGCTGGTGCCGAGGCCGGGTGGAAAATAACCGAGCAGACAAGTGAATTAAATTAGTAAAAGTGCCTGGGCTGCATCTTGGATAATAGAGCTGATTTGATATTAAATTGGTGAAGTACTTTGGCTGGTGCCGAGGCCGGGTGAAAAATAACCGAGCAGACAAGTGAATTAAATCGGTAAAAGTGCCCAGGCTACATCTTGGGTAATAGAGCCGATTTGATATTAAATTGGTGAAGTACTTTGGCTGGTGCCGAGGCCGGGTGAAAAATAACCGAGCAGACAAGTGAATTAAATTGGTAAAAGTGCCCGGGCTGCGTCTCTGGTAATAGAGCTGATTTGATATTAAATTGGTGAAGTACTTTAGCTGGTGCCGAGGCCGGGTGGAAAATAACCGAGCAGACAAGTGAATTAAATTGATAAAAGTGCCTTGGCTGGGTGGAAAAAACCGAGCTGATTTGAATTAAATCAGTAAAAGTGCCCGGGCCACGCCTGGGAAAATAGAGCCAAGCTAATATTAAATTGGTA